ATCTAAAACAATTTCTAAAAACAATTTAAAAAATGATTTATTTTTTAACAACAAATGCTCGTCTTGCACTAGCTTTGCGATGCGTGTTTGCAAATTCACACATTACGCAATCACGTTGGAAAGGTCACGCACGGTTAGTTCTTCATCTGTGTACTCCAGTTTAAAAAGGTAGGGTAGGGCGAAAAACTCTCATTTTCGTGACCTTTCCAACTTGATTACGTAGTACTTGAAGATGACGAGCATTTATGGTTAATAAGTATATACATTTTTATTTTTTAAAGAAAATGAGCGATCGTTTCGCTAGATAAGACCCGTATTCATCGGCTGGGATCGTGCTGAATTTGGACCTTCAGCCCGTTGGTCCCCATTGAAGTCTATTATAATGAGAAAAATCCTGGAATGTTTTCCTCAAAATTTCTATGCGACTGAAGAAAGAAAGACATGAACATCTTGTATGACATGGGGGAGAGTAAATTATCAGGAATTTTTTATTCTGGAAGGGAACTAATCCTTTAAGTACCATTCTTTTTGTATTATAAACACATTAGTATTAAAAACGAATCATCAGTATTTTGAAATGTTACGAAATCCAGGTTCAAAACAGTGTGACGTAAAAAGCCTCAATTGCTTTAATCACATGACTTGGTGAGTTTGATACAAGCTCCAAACCAGTGACTCGAACACAAAAGTTTCATAAATGTTTCAAAGCTTCATTAAGCAGTGTTTCACTTCACTAGCATTTTGCATTTAGTGTACAAATTCAAATTCTCAAAGCAAAGTGGTATTACTTAGGACAACAGTTGAGAGGGAACCTAAACATCCCAATGCACCAGTTTAGATACTGAAGTAATACTGATGCACCAGTACAGCAAACCTCTACTCAGCTGTATTCACAGAATCATGAATGGTTTTAGTAGTCATATCTAACTAGCTTTCTGACAGCTATGAAACCTCTCCCATCCAGATTTCTCCATGGCTAGATGGTGGTCTGCGTCTTGATCTTCAGCCTCATGCTGGTCTTACCTGCAGAACTGTCTGGAGTGGTTCATGTTGGGTCCTGCTTTGATGTTTCCCTTCTCGGGGTCGTAGATAGTGGTGGCTCTGGCATACGCTCCTCCCAGGATGAAGATATATCCATTCAGAGTCACAGCGGGGGCGTACTTGTTATCTGAACAATGGGAGAATAAAACACAAGTCACCAATTTTGGAGGTTGGAAGTCAAAACCCAATATAAAACCAAATTAAACCAGTTTTTTTAAATCCATAAGTGAATGCATTGAATTTTGGATTGCAATCTTGCATGCAAGCTGTGGCTAGAAGCAGCTGCTGAAAGATTCTGATGTTTTTTTATCTTCAGGAATAATGTGCACAGATGAATCATTCAGAGTAAGACCAGGAACACGTATTAAAGCACATTAAGTCAATTGGCTTCATGTTGACTTCAGATGAATGTCTTGTTAAAGGCAGCGCACCTCATCTTATAAACAAGATAGCAAAGACCATTTTACAGAAGAGATGTAAAGAGTAAGCATATTACATTTCATTTATTGAGAAAGCCAAGCAACAGCTTATTAATTTCAACAAAATACGAGTCTAACAGTAACAGCTGAGGTCAGTGTGTCGACTGTCCAATTGTAAATCAATAGCCCTGTTCAAGCACATTATGTTGGCATGAATGCGGTTAACTTCTTTGATTCGAGTAATCAAGCAGAGGAAAACACATAAATAATTGATGAGTGGCAAATAATTGAATTGAATTCGCATTCAACCCAGCAGCTGTGACTTCGACCTCAGCCGCTGAAGAGAGATGCAAGAACATTGAGCTAATTAAATCTTGAGCCTTTTCAGATTTGGAGTGAGACCTCCCGGGAAGAACAGATATTACGGATAATGTAAAAAAACAGAGGAAAGAGGAGGAAAGGTTAATAAATAATGGTCCGAAATAGAAGTGTGCATGCAGTCCATGTGCAATGGGCAATACTGAACACTAAACAAGGGAAATATTTGATCTCACTTAATCTATCAGAGCTAAGCGGTGCTCTAAGCACAAGACAAATACAAGAAGATCACTAAAGTCCATGAGTAAATCTCACAAAACCTGCTAAGAACTGGGACATATTTCACCCCACAATAAAATAATTAATAAAAAAATAAATTATATAAAATATTTATTCATTTATTGTATATATTTGTTTATACGTTTTTTTGGGTTAAATAAAATGAAAATCTGTATGACAAATGAATAAATAATCTTTAATTATTTAATCTTTAATAATTATAAATAATTATTATTGCATTATTGTAATGCAAAAATATCTAAAAATATGTAATACATGCACAAACATAGAAATATATATTATTTAAATTAGAATTTCCGTATTATTTAAAAGAATGAAATTTAAATGAACTTTAAAAAGATTTACATTATCTGCATAAATAAATAAAAAATACAGATTCTAATTATTGTAATGCATATATATATATATATATATATAGAGAGAGAGAGAGAAGAGAGAGAGAGAGAGAGAGAGAGAGAGAGAGAGAGAAATAGAAACATTTCCACTTAAATATAAACTGAAACAAAATAAATGAATTGAATGAATAAATTAATAAATAACATTTTCATTATTGTAATGATATATATATATATATTAGAGCTCACACATTTTTTCTGAAATGAATTGCGATTAATCCCACCTAACATTAAAGTTTTTAAATATATTTTTGTATTGCAATAATTTCACATTCAATCTTAAGAAACAACAAAGACAGTATATTTTAAATATTTGTTTAATGGCATCTTTATGACTGAAGGCACACATTTCTTAGTATTCTATAGTATAGTATTTCACATATAGACATTTTCTTTTACATTTAAATAAAACTAGAAACAAAATAAATGATTTAAATGTATGAATATATAAATACATGCATAACATTTTCACTATTGTAATGCAATAAATAATATATATTTAAATAATTTCTGTATTATTTAAAGGAATGTCCTGGGTTTAGTGCGATGTCGACAGCATTTGTGATCTGTATGTCAATAACCACTGAAAATAGTTTTGACTCTTCCCTTAGACAAAAAAAACAATTAAAAACTCACATAAATTCATACAGCAGTTAACAGGGTGAAATGTGACCTAGAGATTCACCTTCTGCCTCTCTAGAGTTGTTTTCTGAACTTTCTTTTCTGTGTTTCTTGAGGGAATCTCCGTTTGGCTTCAGTTCTCTGCCTGACCGCACATGTTTGAGGATGATTTTCAGCGCCCCCTATCACAGCGCGTGTCTGCTGTCTCCTGCTGGGCGCTGAAGTGTCAATCTGCCATCCTCAGTCATGTGGCACAACTACTAAATGGGGCTCTTGAAGGAATATTGCACACAAACAGCGGCAGTGCTTTTAGTTAAACAAAGTTTCACACTTCCATAAATGTGGCTATAACACCAAAGACCTTCATCTCCCTGATGCGTTCCATGGCCACGGGCCGCTCTTCTCCACGGCTGCTTTATTTACATGTTAAACACAATACAGTACAGCATGAGTGTGAGCCTGTCCCACTGCGTTTCTGGTCTGTCAAACACTGCGGGAGGAAGGTGTTGTCATTCACAGACGGCGGCGCTGACAATACCGTTCCCTGCCGATAAGACGGACAGAGATAAATAAATGCAAACGGGAACATTAGGCAGATCGCTGACTGGCAGCTGAGAGACGAATCTCTTACTGCTGACTGATCAAATCAAGCTTCTCCACGGCAGATCTTATCGTTCTTCAGCGCTCAATGTGTCACTGCACCACCAACAGTGCAAGAAATACTATACTTAACGAGGATTTATGTCTAATTTTCTGGTTAAAATATCTAAAAATCCTTAAAAAAAATAAAAAGTATTGATGTCAGAATCAACACTGCATTCATGCTTAAGACTTGCTTTCACAGAACGCATCTTTAACACCAGTGCATTCGTGCAGTTTCACATTTTAAAGTATAAAAGTTAAAAAACAAGCATTTAAAAATCTGCAAGTGCAATAAGACAGAATACTCGTATATTGCAATGCAATCTACAAAAACGTACTATCATTTGCAATGTTGCTTCTCAACTCAATTTATCTTGTTTCAATGTTTTTTTGACACTTTAACTGGAAAACAAGTAAAAAAAGATTAAAACACTTTTAATAAGTCAGTTTTGCAGTGCACATAAGAATTTGATCAGTCATTGTGTATTTCAGGCTATTTTTAAGGCACTTAAATTGTATAAATGTGACCCAGGACCAAAAAAAACAGTCATAAGGGTCAAATATTTTAAATTGAATAAATAAGCTTTCCATTGATGTATGGTTTGTTAGGATAGGACAATATTTGGTCGAGATGCAACTATTTGAAAATCTGGAATCTGAGGGTGCAAAAAAAATCAGAATATTGAGAAAAGTTGTCCAAATGAAGTTCCTAGCAATGCATATTACTAATCAAAAATTAAGTTTTAATATATTCACAGTATCAAATTTACAAAATATCTTCATGGAACATGATCTTTACTTAATATCCTAATGGTTTTTGGCATAAAAGAAAAATAAATAATTTTGATCCATAAAATTTATTTTTGGCTATTGCTACAAATATACCCCAGCGACTTAACACTGCTTTTGTGCTCCAGGCTCACAAAAAAAAATGCATACATTGTTTACATTTATTTTAATTTAATTGAAAGAAGTCTCTTTTGCTCACCAAGGCTGCATTTATTTGATAAAAATACAGTAAAACGGTACTATTTTGAAAACTTATTAGCAATTAAAATTTTATATTTGAATGTATTTTAAAATTACATTTATTCCTGTGATGCAAAGCTGAATTTTCAGCATCATTACTCCAGTCTTCAGTGTCACGTGATTCTTCAGAAATCATTCTAATATGCTAATTTGCTGCTCAAGAAACATTTCTGATTATTATCAATGTTGAAAACAGTTGTGCTGCTTCACATTTTTGTGGAAACTGATTTTTTTCAATATTTATACTAACAATATTTATTTTAAATAGACATCTTGTCTCATTATAAATGTCTTTACTGTGACTTTTGATCAATTTAATAAAATGCATACATTGTTTACATTTATTTTAATTTAATTGAAAGAAGTCTCTTTTGCTCACCAAGGCTGCATTTATTTGATAAAAATACAGTAAAACGGTACTATTTTGAAAACTTTTTTAAAATTTTATATTTGAATGTATTTTAAAATTACATTTATTCCTGTGATGCAAAGCTGAATTTTCAGCATCATTACTCCAGTCTTCAGTGTCACATGATCCTTCAGAAATCATTCTAATATGCTAATTTGCTGCTCAAGAAACATTTCTGATTATTATCAATGTTGAAAACAGTTGTGCTGCTTCACATTTTTGTGGAAACGGATTTTTTTCAATATTTATACTAACAATATTTATTTTAAATAGACATCTTGTCTCATTATAAATGTCTTTACTGTGACTTTTGATCAATTTAATGCATCCTTGCTGAATAAATGCATTCACTTACTGACCCCAAAAGTAGTGTATAATTTACACAATTTACACAAACCCAGTTTTTGTTGGGTTTGAACCTGCGACCTTTGCATTACCTCCCCACATCTTCAGCCGCTAGTCTTTACTGACCTACACTGCAATTACACGGCCATATTATTATGCTACAGTCATTTTAGTTCCTTTATTACTTTTGACCGTTTCCATGGCTTTATCGATTGAGTCGGAAGTCAAATAACAAGACAATGAAGACTGAGGTGCTTTGTATTTGAGCCTTTGCTTGTTCTTACACAAACACGGCTGCAATAAACATATGATCCCCGGGCCACAATGTCCACAGCGACATCAGAATCAATAAGTGCCTTATGGTCCATAGCAACATCAAAATCAATAAGAGCTCAGGCTGAGATGACGTAACTGGCTGAAACCCTCAAGAGTTCATTATCCGCCAGCGCAGGAATACCTGCAACACTTGACATCTCCGACGACCTTTCCAGATCGCTCAAGCCCTTCACAATAATCCAAATATCATGTTCCTTCTCACATGCAGCTGGCCTTTGGAGATGATGTCAGCTGCCGTATCTGAGCTTTGAGTCACCGCCTCTAAACGCTCATCGTCTACACGGCCATACGTGTTTGACCCTCCGCGACTCCA